AGAGAGAGAGAGAGAGAGAGAGAGAGAGAGAGAGAGAGAGAGAGAGAGAGAGAGAGAGAGCATGACTAGTGAGGTAGTGGGAGGCAGAGAGAGATTGAGAGAGAGAGAGAGAGAGAGAGAGAGAGAGAGAGAGAGAGAGAGAGGCAACCGGATAGGATAGAAACGAGTTTGTGGGACAGTTGAGTGACCCAAATCCTGCCATGGAGTCCTGGTGATCCCGCGGTCAGTATTTTACATGTACTATTACCCGAAAAAGTAAGGAGATCTTGGTTCCCCTCCTCCTCTCCTTAACACTGGGCATGCCTGTGCAAAGAAAGCTTCCCACCAGAATCTTTTCAATCGGTTGGGGGTGTGGCCAACCCCAAAAGAGGGTGGGGTCGGCCATAGGCCCACTGGATAGAAGATTTTAAGTATTTTACTTGCGGTTGTGCAATTATCTCATTGGGTGGAGCCCTCCTTCAATCACGGAGTATATATATGGAGGGTGTCAGGATCACTGCTGACAGAAGTGGAGATTATTCCAGAAAATGTGGCGGTTACTTTGTTCACTGTTGTTGCAACCACCACCATCGGACTGACAGGTTAATTACGAATTTCTGGGCTGAGAAAACATGAGAAAGGCAAACTCCTTTCCCAGTGCTAATGGGACCATGCTCCCGTTTGCAGAAAAGTCGCGCCGCCTAGTTTGAGACTACAGTCTAGTGGCCCGGTTGGAGGCCCTGGCACAGGCCTGGAAAAGAGGAGAGAGAGAGCACGGGCCATTGCTGAACGAATCTTCCCCCAACTTTGCACCGAATGAAGCGCAAAGTTGGGGGTTAGATTTAGAGGTGGACCCCACTGCCTGGCCGAAGCTTTCCAGGCGGAAATCTTCAGCCAAACCCAAATCGTAGGCAGCAGACCCCACTGCAGCACAGATTTTCGGCAGTTCTGTTGGTGCCGGTTACCCGATACGGAAACCTTACCTATATGGAAACTTCACATCCACGCTGGTCTCGGTTCTCACCAGTGTCGTCACCGTCACCATGAACGTGACCGGCCGGTCATTTGGCCCTGCGCCTGTGAACGGTTGTTGACTGTGAATGGGCAGACCAGGAAAGAGTGGTGTTTTTTTTTTTTTTTT